CCTCATTAGATACTACAGGCTACAAGAGCTCATGTGGTCTTTTAGCATCTCCCTGCATGTCAAGGAAGGGACATTCAAACTTAAGTGCTATGAGAATGACAATACTGTCCACATGCTGTGTATTGTAGGATTAGTTAACTCCAGCTTCCCAAAAGCATCATGGAGCCAATACAACACAGGCAGACATCAACATGTGATTTGAAACGCTGTGTTAGGAATGCACCACCCAGAACACAACACAGTACATGAAAACCTGGGCACAGGAGGCACACAAAGTCCTCAGACTGCAACACAGACCTCCCTCGCCCCATTCAGCTCACCCTGCAGCTACTGAACTCCACAGACGCTAACCAGGGAAAGGAGAACTGGCTGCAGAGCTGATCTAATCAGCCAGCCTTTTATCTACAAGTTACAAAACCCCTGCAGATTAAATTAATCGAGGCTAAATGAAGTCCTCTAAAAGCCAAACGCCTGCTCTCTAGTAATCACCAGGCTATAGTCAATGGAGAGACAGCCTTGCCTAAGTGTGAACCAGCACATTCAGACACCAAGTCCTAAGTCAGTTGGGATGAATCACGTCCCCAAAGACTATCACTCTCCAGCTGGAGTGGGGTGATTACTTTGGATTAGTTGTCGAGTCTTTAAACCCCTGAAGTCAGAACAAACTCTCACTGGGACTGTGCAAACTGCAAGAACAGAAGCAAAGGTTACATTTCATCAGAACATTTGAATTTCCTGGCAGAGCTGTGCTGCAAGTGCAGAGTGAGCAGCAATGAACAACAGATACGGGGCAAAATTATAATAAAGCTGCTGGCATAGAAGTGTTACAGGTGTCAATAAATGTTAGAGCAGCTTAAGGAATAACATCAAAACGTGAGGTGAACAACCAAACACAACATAAGGGAGTTGGGGGGAGAAACAAAGGGAAGGGGCTATAACATTATGGGCCTTTTTCTGGAGCTGCTCTGCTGGGGTGATAACATCACCTTGGTGTTAACAAAAGAAGGGTAACATCACCCTAGGTTTTGCCTTCCTAAAGAGCTAAAAGAGTGCGATTTTTTAAAAAAAGTCATCAAATGTGTTTTCTGCCAGATAAACAACTGCTGCTGATTCTGTAAAAGGACTTCCACTGCCTCCAGCCGGTGTTTGGTAATGATCTCCTCTCCCTCCAGTAATTTCTCAGGGACCTCAACACATGAAAGCACACAAGATGTCAACAGATAGAGCTTGTCAGGCTGGGCTTCTCCAGCGTTGGTGGGGACAGGCAGAGGTTTCTAGGGACTCAGTTACCTCACCCTGCTTGAGACACCTGCCACTGTGCAGGAGGAGAGCTCAGGCTGCCAAAGTAAGGGACGGAGGTTTACGACGCAGACATCTGAAACGAGAGGAGGGTTGTCCTGTCCCAGCTCTGTGGCAAAGAGATAAGTGTCTATAATTGGCACTTCACAGACTGATCGGCCAACTCAGGATGTGGGAATCACATCAGTCCACTTTTGTCATCTCAAAGCAAGGATCTTATCTGGAAGTGTTGTCTACACACCTTGTGCAATCAACACAGAAAGACAAGGGGAAAATTCCCTCAGGCTAAACACACAAACCACTTCCAAGTCAATGTCCCTAGGCGGCTGTATCCAGGTGATACCTGAGCTCAGTCAGGATCCAAGCATTAGGCAATGCAATTCCTGTGTCCCACTGCAGATGTTCTTGGAGCTCACCAAACACAAACACTTTGCTGAGCTTTTCACATAACGTACCTGCTGCTTCCTCTTCAAGCACAAACAGAAGGGAGCCTGCCAACTTGTTTCATGATAGAACAGTTCTTGGAGAGCACTCTCCTGGGAACATGGAAAGTCAGATTTGTTATTTTCTCTGCTGTTTCTGACTGAAATCCACACCTTTCACCACAAAACATCATGGGGCTCAAACACACTCATCTATATATCTTCTGGAAGGCATCTATCTGCATAGCAATGTTCCAGTGTGCAGAATTCACCGGCCAGAAATAAACAGCAAGTGCAGCAAGATGAGAAAAATCCAAACTTTAGTTACTGCACTGAGATCTGGGTCACCACAGACAGAATCACAGGATCATTGGGTTGGAAAAGACCTTTAAGATCACCGAGTCCAACCATAACCTGGCCACTACTAAACCATTTCTCTAAGCACCTCATCCACCTGTCTTTTAAATACCTCCAGAGATGGTGACTCCACAGAGCAGTGCAAACTCAAGTCTCCCACTTTTTTATCTGAGGTTCCTGACCAGGCATCACAGAATCATGCCTCTAAACACAGCAGCAGCACACAGATTCCTTGTTTCATCTTTTCCATTCGTATTTTAAGACTCTTCCAAATCAAGGGAGAGAAAGCTTTGTACCCCCTGAGCTGAAGGAGGGCACTGGACACCAGTTGGCAGTTACAGGCCAAAGGATCTCACTGGCAGTGATGGCAGGGAAGGAGGCCAACCCTACCTCCTCCGCTGGTTCCCTGGTGTGCCCAGCACATTGGTTCTTTCCAGTTGCCACTCTGAGGTTCCTACCACTCGTGTGCCATGTAGGGAAGCCAATATGTGGCCATGGAGTTGCTCTGGTGGCCCTTTGAGGTCCTGCTCAGGGTTCACAGCTGCCATGAGAAGAACCATGGTGTGCCTCTTCCCTCGGCTGCTGGCCTGTAGTGAACATGTGAAAAAGCGCTTTCAGACACCTCTTCCTTCTCTCCTTCCAAAGGAAATGCACAGGAATAGAATTGGGCATCGTAACATCAATGGGTCTGGTTACAGGCAGGAAGAGGGTATGAAGGGAAGGATGTGGGACAATGAGCAAATCCTCTTAGGATGCCGGCCTTGGACAGGATGTGGAGCAGCCCAGGAGGCTGCCAGGTGGGATGAGGAATGAACACGCTCAGCTCCCTCTTTTAGTCACTGACTTAATCGTTAATGAAGGCTTTGCATATGCAAGACTCCTTACTTCCTAAATAAGCATGAAGGAGCTCTTACCTCCAGGGAGAGCTGCAGTAGCACACCAACATCAACACCAACAGGATCCAGCCTCAGCAACATACTGCTGGGTCCTCCGACACGAACATACCTGCACAAGACAGTAAGAACAGGACAGTAGATATTTCTGGTTCCTGCATGTGAATTATTGACAAAAGTCTGCCACAGGTCCCTCAAGCAGATCTACTGCCACTTGACCTAAACTCCCTGGCTGCTCCCAGCACATCACATCTGGAGCAGCCATTGAAATGTAGCAGCAGGAGGTGGAAACGTGCTGGTGTGAGCTCCTGCTCTGTATTCCCAGTGAAAGGATGAGGCCCAAACATCTCCTCTGTCCTACAAATGAGCAGAGCAAGCTGTTGAGCAGGTTGAATGACTGCAAGCAAAACAAGCACTCCCTCAACATGTTCAGCAGCTTCAGGAAGGACACGTGTAGGATGCACAGCACAGCCCTCAACACCTGAAGCAGGGGCAGTAGTAAAAAAGAGCTCACCAGAGGATCATGAGACTGTTCATATGCAACTGACCCATCACAGCGCAGGAGGCCAGGGGGTGATACACGCTTTGCAGGCAGAGAAGAGGTGGGTACTTCGCAAGCACAGTGAAATTGCCCAAGCTGCAGAGTCTTCCACTCGTGTTGAGCCTCAGGGTCTTTCCTATGTCCTTGCCAACCTTCCCAGGATCCTGTGGAAGCTTCTGCCCTCTCCTTGGCTTCTCAGACCTACAGGAAAAGACAGAGAGCGCTGAGGGCCAGGCTGTGCAGACACAGCATGTCCAAAGGATGGAGACATTGCTCCCTAAGGTGTGTCATGGAGTGGCAGAAGCACCCATCACCCTGACTGCTGGAAGAGGACACCAAAGGCCCAGTCAAGCCTGATGCGGCACAGTCAAACAGAAGTAATGGGACTCAGGTTTACTGCAGTCTCTTGTAGAGAGAAGAGCAAAAAAGTCTTGGTTATAGTTTATTATACAAGAAAAAAAACAGAGATCAAGGTGGAGCAAATGGGAAGATGCAGATGGGGATGGCAGGGGCCTCTACAAGGGGGTGTTTACTAAGAAATTAGCTGCCACCAGCATCATCCAAATAAAATCCCATGTACTAGGGTAAGACTACAACCAAACATCTGCACAGGGGCCCGAGAAGCTGGAGAATGTCACAACAGATGGTCACTGTATTCACAGCACAACTCCATTAGCAGAAGAGAGAAAGACACTCAGTAATTTCTAGGTATTAACATAAAGATTGATGACTCCCAACACTGGTATCTTCATCTTCTGTTGCTGGAGCTCAAGACAGTCAATGAGTTGTTCAGCAAATCTGCAGAGGGGATCAGCAAACATCTCCAAATGCTCGAGCAGTACTTCAGACCATCTCTGGGATGCAGACAACTTCTGCTACACGCTCAGGATGAAACCGGTCCCACAGAAAGGCTGTAAGTAGACTGCACCAGCTCTACGTTGATTTGAATTTCTGAAGGAAGACCTTCTCTGCAGGGTTTTAGAAGTAGGAAAGCATGGAGAAATATGAGAAAGGGTCACAGGGTATGGTATGGCTGCCACTGCTCCTCAAAGTGGTGTCATGCAGTGGCACACATCGCAGGGACCATGCTTGCAGAAGCAGTCACCATACCCTTCCAGCTGATGCTCAGCCTCCCACGGCTTTGCCGTTCTTCATCTGCTCTACATTCACCTAATCCAAAGCTCTGGTGGAAAAATCTGCTCTTACTTAGTCTCCAGTTTCTGCTTACCTTGTTTGCCAAGCAAAGGCAAGGTAAGTGAGATAGGGCGGTGGTTAAGCCCAACTCCTCTGCCAGGAGCAGCAATTCTGACCCGAGGGCTTGGTGTGGCAGAAGTGCGACCAGAAACTTCACTTTGTGGAAGGGGAGGATGGGAGTTAGAAATGTGGGAAGCAGCAAATGCTCCTTAACAGGGCTCAGGCACCTTGACAGCACAGGAGATGTGGAGATCATCAAGGATGCCTGTGCTCTTAAAGAGGCAGGAGAAAACCGTTCGATATAAATATAAAGGTGATGTGAACACAGAAGCCAAGATGACATCGAAAAACATTTAACCACCTAAAATACAGAGTAGGCATCAAAGGGCATCACATGATCCCTCCCCTCTCCAAAACCTCCTGGAATGTCAGTCTGAAGCAAGAGACTTAACCAAGTGTGACCCCATGGGCAAAACATGCACCTACTCTGCCAGTGGTGCAGAACAGCAGAGAAGGAAGGGAAGGCACTGACCATTGGCCCTTTTCTGCTCACAGAAACCCCAAAGTCAAGATCTACCTGAAATAACCTGCACTTCCTAAAGGCTCCTGTCTCTTTAAGACACCTGGGAAAGCTGGGGGAAGAAGTCCTTTGGAATAGCAAGCAGTGTCCAAACTCAGTGTATGAAAGATCAGGTTGGATGGTGAAGTGCTCAACGTGGCTCCTTCCAGAAGAAACGAGCATGGATATATTCACTTAAAATGCAGTGAGCAGCCCCAGGCTGATGCTCTGGGGCCACTCTCAAGAAACCCAGCAGCATAAAAGAAGAACTGTCCATAAGCAAAATGCCTTCAACGATTCCCTCTGCAAAACCTCAAAAATGGGAAAGCACAGGCTTTACAATTTTGGGTTAAAAAAACCAAACCAACTGCATTCTGCTTCACTTGAAGCGCTACTGTACATAGGAAACAACTGCTCATCATTGCTGCTGCAATGCCTGCAAAGTGCAGATTTTCTTACTGGAAATCTATTCTCTCTCAAGGACTCCAAATTCTGGTTGTAAAGATGTCTTGTACATAAGATTTTGGCAATGGCCTGTTTCCAGCCTATTGGCATACATCTCTGAGTAAGAGGGGTCACTTTCTACATCCAAATCCTGTCTCCAGGCAACTAATGGCTGGGAAGCAAAGTCTCCTCTTGTCCTGTGCAGCCTCCAGTGTATTTTTCCTCTCTAACAGATTACCCTTTTAATGCATAGACAGTTTCTGCCTTATTCTCTTCACAGGCTCCACACACTTCTGTCCAAAACACACCCCGGCTGCTGGCTCAGCGCTGTAACGGCAGGGTGGCTGAAGGTGTTTTATGGAACAAGCAGAGAGCCATGATTACAGGTCTTTATTCTCATATTAACAAGAAGTGCAAAAGCAGATGCCAATGACCACAACCTGGCAGCGCAATTTCAGGAGTCTCCTGCCCATAAGCATAGGAAAGGGCTCAATTTTGACCACGTGGCTGTCCCATACCCCGAGTACAACAGGCATGGCCATCTCCAGACCAGTGGCCCCATGAATTGCACTGTTTTACTGGCTCCACAGCAGCACAGGCACTACAGGATCTCTGACCTGCGCTCAGCACCAGCGTGGATGGTGGTGTAGTCACAGTCCTGTGTTCCCATGGCATGGATAACACGAGTCCAGGTTTAAATTACATAGCAGGAAAGGGGTTAAAGTTTAAAATGACTGTTTTGTATATGAATTAATGTATGTCGCTTTGAGCCAAAATATCTACCATTAATTTTTCCACCTATTTCAGGAGCAGTAAGATACACAAAGTAAAGTTTATTTTGGTACTTGGTATACTTCACTCTCATTAAAAATAAATTAATCAGCAAATTCCTACACAGCTCAGCCTTCTTTTATGTAAATACAAGCCAGCTGTAATGAATTACAAGGTGTTATTATCTCACACACACTGTATAATACTTCACACATAAGAGGTTTCTCTGCTTAGCTCAGCTTTCAACAAAAGCATCTTAAATAAACTGCAAGCAAGTTGTTTGGTCTGTAATGTTTTCACAGAGAAGGGATACACCTCACACATAGAGGGTTTCTTTACATGACTCATTTTATAACAAGTTAAACTGAGGAAGTTCGCCCTGGAAAAAAAATAACAAAATGCCCTTTTTATACACAGAAGGCTCCCTAAGAGAAGAGTAAAAAAAAAAAGCAAGCCAGTGTTTGAGAGCCTGTATTCTGCATCCAACTGTTCTTTACACAGAGAAGACACGTCAAATATTCCCCAAAACACACACAGTATGAAGAAAGCAACTTCAGAAGGAAGAGAAGTCACAGCCAGGCACAGTCAACACTTTCACCAGATTAAGGGTTCGCAAATTAAGGATTAATTTCACAAATGAAGGATTAGCACCTTTAACTTCTGTTTAACAGTTTTATTAGGAATAAGTCTTGATATTACAGAGTTTGCTCTTATCAAAAGTGCCCGTGGCACAGAAACCGCACACATATCCATTTTACCCAGACTGACATTGATTTATTATTGACTCGCATTTTCAACAGGAGAGAAATGAAAACTGTTTTGTCACTGAGCTGGAAGCAGCCTGGTGAGCCATCCACCCACACAGCACACCTCAGCCTCTGCTGATTGAACAGTGGAGCTCTTGCTCCCCTAATTACTACGCTGGCGTAATTTGCCTGCACAGCCAGATAAAGTTTTCACTGGGGTTGAGAGGTCTTGTTAAAAAGCCCCGGACCACTGCTTTGGGGGCTGGAGGACAGCACAGTCCTGCCCCCTTAAGAGCCATGAACAGAAACAGGGATGTTCTTTTCATAAACAAACACCACAACTCTCAAAACCAATATGGAAATAATCAGCAAGGCAGACTGAAACATCAAGTACTCTGAGGCAGCTTTTAGTGACAGCCCAGCCACATTTTGGACTTTATTCTCATGAAGATGGCCAGGGCCATAGAGGATTATTGGGGACTGCACATTATTCTTTGCATCCTCCTAACACTGTGCAACAGAGCTGAGAGTTCCTAAAAAGGATTTTCACAGAAAACCCTTCAGAATCTGTTAAAGCAATCCTTAACTCCACTAAAGCAAAAATGGATCATTCCATCCTCGTGTCAGGCTTTTAAAATACATCAACATCGAATATGCAAAGCTCAGATTTGCAGTCACAACATTCAGTGAGCAGCAGAACACCGCAGTGTCTCTATGCAGCAGCTCTCCAAAGGAGGCAAAGGACAGAAATGTCTTCTTGAGATAACACTAAGTCATGGTAAAATATCTGGTTTCCTAAAGACAGAAGGCAGGTCTTCTGTTTTGTCAGCAAGGACCACTCAGTGCCATGAAAAGGACAGAGGATCTCACACCAACTAGCGTTTATTTGCGGGTGAATATTCAGAACAGTATGGCTGTCCAATTTGCTACTGAGTCATCACAGATAAGGTATCTAATGAAATATTTTCTTTTCAACAGCAGATTCCCCTTCCTGACCCCACATCCTCAGCCCAGTTCAATCTCAGCCATGCTTTCCAAGCCGATCTGACAAACTGATAGAACGAAATGCCAGGCGCCGGCGCTCTCAGAGTCCTTCGTCGTTGTAAACAGGGGACAGGGGCTTGAGGATGCTGCGGGCATTGCTCTCCACCAGCGGCCGCCAGCTCACCTCGCCCGTCAGCAGCAGGTCCTCCCCGCTCAGCGCGTCCAGGTGCTGCACCTGCAAGGACAGGATGTTAGTGCCCGGTGTCCCATCGCCCATCCAAGTTCCTCAAGAGCTACACAAACACTGCTTGTCAGAAAGCAAGCAGAACAAGGAGATTTTTAGCATGCCTGGCCATTTGTGCGAGTAGGCCTAAAAAGATAATTTATGGCTGCTTTAGCGTCATTGAAACGCTTGGAGATAAATATCTGCAGATCCACTGGAGTCAACTTGGTCAAGTCTTCTACTAACACTTTAGCTAATGCTTCCTCTGAAAGTTTGGCAGCAGGACAAAGGAGAGCCACGCAAAGCTAATGCGAGTCCTTTTATCTTCCTGGCAGTTAATTCAGATGACACACTGCTAGCGCCATCATCTACATGAAGTGCTCTCATAAAAGTGGTTTCACATAGACCAAGGCTTTTCACTACAGGAAAAAAAAGGCTGACCAGCAGGGAACACCTAAAATTTATAATATAAAAGCACATGAGCTGGAGGAGATGAGTGTGGAATGAACACTCATTCTCACAATATAAGAAATACTTGGGATCGAATGAAATTTTCAGGTGCAGTGTAAGCAAAATTGAAAAAACCCACTCCTGTCATACAACATAAGGTTAACATGATGGAGTGGGGGGAAAGGTCCATCAAGGGGCAGTAAGAGACAAAATTACCCCCTCTGGCTCAGGAAGTCTGAATGCAGATTGCTAGGAGAGTGGGCATGCTTGCCCTGTTACTACATTCTCCTCTGGCATCCACCAATAGCCACTGTTAAAGACAGGATGGGCAAGAAATTGTGGGACAGACCTCCACACATACTTACTGGAAACAAAAGATGATTTGGAAAGGAGTTTCTCACAGAGGAAAGGATACACCAATGGCCACAGAGAGACTGAAGAGCCACCTAAGCACAAGATCCTGTTTCCAACAGTCACCAACAGCAGATTCCCCAGGAGGAGTTAAGTGCAACACATGCATACAATGTTATTTTCCTTGTTTATTTTCCCTTCCTCTAAACACTTGTTAGCTCAGGGATTTTGAGCCTGAAGTGGCTGCTGTGGATTTAATAGCCCTGGACAGACTTCTCTTCCATAAACCCTGCCAGTGGCTTTGAAACCCAGGTGTGATTGTAGCACCCAAACCAACCTGTAGCAATGTTATGTCCCCATGTTCTTGTCTCGGTGAACAGCCTTTCCTTGCTCACCTTTCATATGCCTTCAGGATTTCCCAGAGCTGTCTCACATTCTTCCTCAGCTGTTTTTCAGGCAGGGGATCCTGCTCATTGCTAAGAAAGGAGCTGTTTCATGCCATCCTTACTACTTTTCTCTGAGCCTTTTCCAGCTTGGTTTTATCTTTCTTGATGGTCAGAAATCACACACATTATTCAACATCACAAGGGCACCGTGGATTTTAAAAGTGGCAGGACACCACTATTTTACTCTCTGTTCCTTCCTTAATAGTTCTGAGCATTTGTTTTACTTTCTTTAACCACTACAGAGTGCTGAGCTGACATTTTGATAATGCAATTACAATCGCAAGGACTCATTTCTGTGTGGCAACAGACACTTCAGAGCTCATCAATATATATGTAAAGCTGGGACTGTCTTTCTCAAGTGCACTGCTTTAGAGTTGTGCTGATTCCTCCCCAATGTGCCACATTTATCTGTGTAATCACCGTTTCCTATTCAACTGCTGACAGCTTCTGTCCTATCCTTTCACTCAACATACAGAAGTGCAACCAATTCCTCACTTGGCAGCAAATTGTCCTGAATTATATACTCTTAATATGTGTTTGCTCTCTACCAATCTTCAGTATTAAACTTTCCTACAGCCTCACTGATGTTAACCATCAGCAACCTTCAGCACTAAATTAAGTCTGTCTCTCCTGAAAGGCCCTGTAGCATTCCACACTGAAATACAGTCTCTCCAAATCTCTATCTGATCCTGAATAGAGTTATGGAAATATTCCAGAGAACGCTGTTGTGGAGGTTATGGTCTTCGATTCCCTGTCCAACAGCCTACACTCTTCCTCCAGAACGTCTTTCACCTCTTTGGTACCCACCTGGACTCTCTCCTATCAACATTTTCTAGAAACCTGGTTCACAAACCTCCTAAGGGTTGAGAGGACAAACACCACTTAATAGTGGTTCCTCCAGGTAGTAACAGAAATCTTTCTGGAAAACAAAACCTTTTACTTCTTTCCCAAAAAGGCCATCAGGAGACCTTCAAGCACCATGTGCTATGAAGAGAATCCCAACTCTGCAATAGTAATTCTAATTCTACAAGTTGCAGGCCATTTCTGACACATTTTGTCAAGCCCCTAAACAGCCTAGGTCCAGAACAAGATGAGCAGGATTGCTTTCAATATTCCATTAATTTCTGTGCAGCCATTTTTCACCAAACTGCAATAAACATCAGCCAGTTTTTGTATCTTATTCCTCTTAAAAATAATCACTAAATAATCAGTTATATTTGTGAGAACTGAGCTACATAGATGGAAGCAATACAAGTGTAATATTTTAGGCAAGATAACGAAGCGAAGTCGCACTACGAGCCGCACTGTACCTGTTTGCGCACGTATTCCACCAGTAACTCCAGATGCCGAGGGTCCTCACAATTCCTGTTAAAAAGGTTTCTCCAAAGAGCTGCTGCCAGAGCACGATCATCAGATAAGATTCCCTAAAGGAAATACAGAGAGGGATTAAAAACTGCACATGAACAGGGTCTGAACACAAGACAACCACGTTACTCTACCTGGCAACTGCGTTCAGCTGTCTCAAAGCCCACAGCTGCTATGGGCTGCACACATGAAAAGGCACCCACATCACTC